TATATATATATATATATATATATATATATATATATATATAAACATATAACATAACACGGACGAAGCCATATCGGTGGCAACCCCGATTATGTAGTTACCCATATTAGTTGACAAGTTAAATTTGAACGTCTATGACGAACAATGCTCTTGTTGATTCCATTTGCTTCCAGATACGGTATTACAACTTATTTCGAATCGCCGACATTTGGATAGAAAAATTAGACAACACTAACACAAAAAATGAGTCTTACCAGTGAGGACAATCTTTCCGGAGACGAAGATCAAGAGGACAATTTTGGGCTTGGTCATACGGTAAATGAGACCGGGGAAAAGTTCTGGCTCGTAACTATCAAATGCAAAGTTGGAAAGAACGGGAATAGAATAACATTACAATACCGTTTTCACCTCCTTTTATCGAATACAATTGTACAATCGAAATAACAGGAACCAAGAGNAGTTTAAACAACCATTAGGCATGCAATTCCGTGCGACGCTTTTGATTGCTGTCCTTTAGTTGCCCGTTTAGGTGAACAATAGGAGGAACACAGCAAGGTTGAAAGTGGGATCGAAGACAAAATTGAAAAGTTCAGTAGCCTAATGAAGCAGAGAAACGATTCGAACAGAAAATGGAGAAGTTCAGTGGACTAAGGTTGGAAAGAAATTGAGAAGATGCAAATGGAGAAGTTCAGTGGACTAAGGGTGGGAAGAAATTGAGAAGATGCACGAACGCCACTGTCGGAGAAGTTCAGTGGACTAAGGTTGCAAAGAAAGTGAGGAGATGCACGAACGCCACTGTTTAAACCCAGCCATATCACTCAGTGTCTCTAACCATCGGTTACGATCATCCCGAGGTCCCCAGCTAGGGAGCCTAACAGAACCTATGTGACCCAGTCTCCAGGTCAGGGTTTTCATACTCTCATGCCATGTGTTAGCTTGACCACCGTTGACTTTCCTCCATCCACTACCTGCCTCGGTGAATATCGCTCGCCGTGGCAACCTATCTAGTGACAACTAGCGTAATCTATGGAGGTCGACCACTTGCTCTAATGGACGACCGCGATTGCCTAAAACTCTACGCCTAACCTCAGCATTGCTCGTCCGGCTGCCCCACCAGATTTGTGCAATGCTGCGTAGACAGCGGTGTTCAGTCTATCTTTGTCCTGTTTTCTTAATGACCAAGTTTCTGCACTGTATAGCACAACTGGCCGAACTGCCACGGCCTACACTCGACTCTTCACCGACAACCTGATGTCGCGACGGCGCCACAGATGTCTCAAGTTAGCAAATGCCAACGGAGCCTTCTTTATGCGAGCTGACACTTCATCCGTGATGCGTCCACTGGATGAGATGCAGCTGCCAAAATAACAAAATTTATCTACTCGTTCTATTACTTCCCCAGTTAGAGTGAGGGTGGGTGGTGAACCAAACCAGTTTTCAAGTAGCATTTTACATTTTGAAGGTGCAAAACACATACCGAACATGGTTGAACTCGAGACCTTCAGACAGATACAAAGATGACTGTAATCAATTAATCACCATCACCCAAACATGGTGACTTTGATGGTCTAATGACAGTATATCTGTGACATGCAATTTGAGCTTTCATTGCTTTACGATAAACAAGACTAAGTAGCAAACGAGTGATACGCCACTAGAGGCACACATTAGGCGAAAGGCATTAGCTAATAGTTGGATGATTTTTTTGGAAGAGGTGATAAAGAAGCTCGCTTTTACTGCTTCAGCAACTAGCCAAATACAGCAAAATTGATTAGATTGTAGTAACAATGAATGAGGAAACGGAAATCAGAATGCGATGCTGAGGGTTGAAATCTGAATTCACACTGGTAAATTATCATGTAATAATGGTTTTGACCTTGTTGGATGATGGTTGTTGACATTTTTGTTCCGTAATCAGGTTAGAGATGGATTGCCGTGGCAACTGAATATTCCAACAAGTTGTTCATGATTGTCCGAAGGAAGGATGTTCATGTGGATCGCCAACGCCTTACAGATGGTTAACGGACGACATCTGACCTTCTTAGGGAGCAACCCTCTGATTGCATCAGTGGGTCGGAACAAGTGAATCAGATTGATTTATCTCAGAAAATAGTGTACTTCACCAATAATTCCACGAAGATATATTTTATGTGTAACCGGAAAAACTCATCTGATTGAGTTTCCGGGTATAAATATGTTCCGAATGCCTTCTTTCGCATACCCGAAAATATTTCATATGCCTTCGAAGCAGTGAAGAAAAAAGGAAATCAGGATGCAAAGTTATCCAACAAAATGAAATCCACTATAGCGTAATCTATGGAATAAAAGGATTTATTTGGACCGGGGGACTGTCGTGTAAATTGCAGTAGGCTCCTCGGTTAGGGATTTCGACACAAGTCTAATCAATAATCATACAGACTGGATATTCGAACGAGTGATGCTCGCGCAGGTATTCGCTATCTACGCAAGGCCAGTTTACCCACATTCTGTATGTTCATCTAGGTTGTGCTATCCAAATAAATATTTCATTCCTTCTTTCATTAGTCGATCAAAGCAGAAACCGAAAGGTAGCAGAAAACATCTACTCACGCAGCTGCAAGGTTCACAGTCTTACCAAATAAAAGTGAAACTCGGAAAAGCTGCATTTTACCGGATATCTTAGATTCTCCTTTTGAGCTCCTCTCGCACAGTATATCTCTCAAAACAAAGGTTTACGAGTTTATCCTATAGTTCTCCGATAGGATGAATTCTCCTAAGGTTCTTTGTGACTCGCATATAGATTATTTTGATGGGAGAAGAGTAAAATTATCTTACAGTAATCCAATTATCTTATAGTATTCAACTGTATAAACAAAAAAACAGAACCTCCGTTAATAACCTTTACTTGCTTGAATATCCTTCCCTTAAGTGAACATATTTAGGAGATTCGAATTATAGGCCGTTAGAAATGAGATCAAGTAGATGCAACACTTCGTGTGAGGAGCGTGGAAATGCAACAACTTTCTCCTCCCTAAGTTCAAGAATGGTGGAGGTGAGGAAGATAAAAAAAATTATCCATTTAAATCAAGAGACTGACCGCAATACTTTAGGACACAGAAAACGCATTTCAACAGAATACGAACTGCCTAGTATAATAGGAACAGATGGATGGTACTTTTTAAAAAGTTTCATAAAAATTCACAGCTGCTGGGAAAACCATTAGTGAGGGATATTGTAAGACACTATATTCTTATCGACAGCTTTTTCTTGAACAAACAAATCAGATGCTGGAAGGTGGTTACCCTGTCGCCAGCATCACATGTATCCTAGTGCAGCCTTGTGAGTTTTGTCCCTCCAATTCCCAAGTCATTGGTAGCAATATCGAAACCGTGCGTCATTATGACTGAGGGATTCATTTCATCGTTCATCAATTTAAAAAGATGGGCAAAATGAATAACTCACGTGGCGAAATGACTTTGAGATAGAACAAGACCTTCCAGCCGAATGTGAAATCGAACATCGCATGAGCCAACCATATTTTGAATCTTGAATTCTTTAAAATGAGCCTGAAAATGAACATAATAGTCAAGTTAGAAATTCATCTATAACACCGCTGCGTTCATAAGCCCTATGTCAGCTGTTTAAACATAACACTCACGCTACTCATGAGTAGTAAAAACGAAGGTGCTTAAAATAGTGGGTAGGTGGTGTAGACGGATTCGCTTAGGCTAGCATTCACGAAGCAGGACATGTAAAACTTTTCAACTTAAGTGAAACGTGCACCAATTCGTACTTTGGTGTAAAGCGCTTACTATATGGAATTACAGAATTGGTTCGTCTGTCAAATGCGCCTTGTGCGTCCCCACACATTCGAACAGACAGACGATATCATCAGTGTACTGAGTCGTGCAGCTTTCCTCCAGATGCCCACTCAATGACTACATTTTGGAGAACATTGTGAATTCTCCAGTAGTTGGTCAACGACGAACTTGAATCGGAAGGGCGAAAGAGGGCACTCTTGATGAACGCCACTGCTAGTAAGGAAAAAGCTGCTTAGTTCGTTATAGACCCTCATTCGACCAGAAGTGAGTACAATCAAGGTTCTCAATTGGTGAGACGATGAGGGGATGGCGATAGGAATGTATGAGGCAATCTCGGCGGAACAGATACCACAGAAATAAAAAAAGGGCAATTGAGCAACTATCCACTTGTGAGTTAGTGACTGCAAGTTGAGTGTCAAGGAAAGAACGTTGGAAAGGACAACGGAACTAAAACTGGGATTTGTACAGCGGGGAATGAGTTGAAGTAAAACATGATTCAGGAGCGAACAGAAGCCACACCCTCCCTACATACAGCTGGAGAAGCGACGGAGAAAGAATGAATATCAGAGAGAAACACTAAAGGAAGCATGAGTTTGCGGAACAGAGAGACAGAGAACGACTTGTTTAACGGAAACAAATAAAATAAAAGCATAGGAACCAGTGAAGAGAACACAATTCTTGTAACCGAAATTGAGGGCAAGTACAGAGAGTATAACAGCCTTAATCAACGTCGGTGATGGAGAAACAGGAAGTAATAGTATGATTGGTAAAAAAAAACGAGAAGGAAAATGGCCATAGAAAATAATAAACTCTGGGAGACACCAGCACTCAACTGAAGGGCCGAGGAAGCGACGCACCAACTCGGATGTAAATAATGCGGTTACTAAGTGCACTTCACGTTCACATGTTGGAACGTAACCGATTTCACCAACAGACCCTGGTACCAGACTCAGGCGAACTCATTTGAACTGTGTAGCGAAACTAGATATAATTCCCTATGGCTATCGAATGAAGTTCACTGTAAACGGGAAACCGAATCTGACAGATCGCCGGTGAAACGACT